AACATGCTTACTCGCATCCGTAAGCTGCTTTTGGAAAATTTGGCCCTTAATAATGGGGAGCAGTCTGTCAGTTGTGTAATCATGACTAATACTCTTGTAAGAAGCTGTAAGTACGAGTGTTTTGTGGTCATCAAGCTAAACTTTAGCTTGAAGAATATCTTCTCAAGTCACGATGTTTTTGCTAGTATTAATTCTGGGTTTTTTTTTCTCTAAAGGCAGGTTGACACAGATGAAAAAATCATGAGTAGCAAATGATTGACTAACAATTTGAAATAATACATACTAAATTTTAGCTAATTGTGTAGTTTAGTCTTCAGTATTTTTTTGAATGTTCGTGTAGGATGTGTGTATGATCCCTAAAGAGTGGGACTTGGTTTTATTTTTTAGAAAAATCTAATTCTGATGTTTAATTCAAACAAACAAACTTGGTAGCATCAAGGTGTCTGCTGAGGGAAAGCCATCTGTGAATTGAGACCAACTACTTGATGTGTGTTCATAGCTGCAGATGTATTTGCCTTGAAAAGACTGTATCAGTCCTCTGAAATGTCATGTTACATTACGATTTACTTCGCTGCCAAGATTTGTGTGAGCTGGAATGGTCCCTCGCTGGCCTGCTCAAAGCAGTTAAGCTGTTTACGAGATCTGGGGGTTTGACGTTCTGTTGTTTGGAAGTAAAGGGGGGTGGACAAAGAAATTTGGGGCTGAGAAGACAAAAGTTAAAAGTGCTATTCTGAAAATCCACGTGGTTTTAGTTGTGGCAGTTGTAAAAAGAACAGAACTAGGTTCTGTCAAGGATGGAGATTTTGCAACAACTTAGAACTCAAATTAGCCAACCTTTGTTCAGACAGTATGCTAAGGAGTTTTAAAAGAAAAAAAACACTTTTTCAATCTAAGATGATGTAGAAGTTAAAGAAAATAAAGAACTGCTAGCCTGTAATTGCGATTTTAAGTCATAATGGTGAAGACGTGTGTTCAGATGTGTCCTCCTCCCATTTGGCTGCAATAAAATGGCTCCACTGTGTACAAGGAGACGTGGTTACTCGGTTACCTCATAGCAAACTCTGTGTACAGGTTATTCTGATCTTCCAAGCGTGAGCAAGATGTGGTGTTGGTTTAATTGAGCAACTTCACAATTTCAACAGTATTGTAGTAATTTAGAAATAGCTCGTTTAAAAATCTCTTACTAATGTCAGAATTGTGTCGCTGTAGCTTTGCAGAACAGGGTAAGGATTGTATAACACTGCGAGTGAAACAGCCTGCTTGTTGAGGATGAGAAAGCTTAGACGGGATGTACTTAGATGGCAGATCTCTACCCGGGAAAAGCTGTCTTAATGTGTTTGTTCCTGGTGTCTTCTGTCACATTTTGCTGGGTTTTTTTGGTAAGCAAAATTGTTAGTAAAATAGAAGCAGACCCTCTTTTAGAGGATGCAACAGAATGTCTGAACAGTCAGATCCTGGGTGTATTCTTCTAATACGCTGTAGTTTTCTGACATGATTTGATCGGTTTGGAAATTGTTTCAGTGGCAGGAGTGCAGGCTTTAGTCCCTTTGTGTTTTGTATGTTTGTTAGTAGGCTAAACTCTTTGGCTGTGTTCTGCTAGAGAAGCGTTTGTGTTGACAAAGCTCCCAGTCTGTCCTGGTGGTAATACAAAGACTCCCTAGAAGTGCTGATCCCATGAATTGTAATTGTATCTGGACTGGCTGTAACATTCGGCCTTTGTCCTCGGGCCTTGTTACATGCTAGGTGTGATGTCATGTCTTACGGAGCGACTGCCTTCGTTAGCTGGGGAAAGCTGCCCAGAACTAAGCGCTGTGCTGGATTTTTGCATTTACTTGCAGCGAGCAGGGAAATGTCAGGTTGCAGCAGTTACGCAGAAGATCTCAAACACTGAACGTGGGTGATACCTGTGCAGCTAAGCTAGATGATACAAAATCACTGTACATCAGCTGTGTAGCCAAAGGCCCGAAGTAGCGGGGTGTTTTAGCCACGGAGAATTCATGGTAAAATAACTGCTGTGCTAGTGAGATGTTGTCTTCGTATTTGGGAAACTTCTGTTCCTTGCATGACAGGACAGCTCAAATCCATCTCTGCTTTCTGTAGGACACAGGTGTCGAAGCAAAAGCTGACAATTCTCTCAACAGAATTAGCTCGTGTGAAGTTCAGTTGTTTGACCTTACAAACCACAAGCTCAGTTTCTTAGTACATGCTACGGTGTTACAAACTCAAGGGCCTGTTTATATCTCAGGATCAGAATGTTTGAAGTTTGTGTGTGAATTCTGTATTTCAAAGTATAGTGACTCATATCCGCATGAAACTCAGCTGTTCCAAAAATACGGATTGCTTGCAGATCTGGAGAAACTTAGGGCTGTTTATGTTTTTAAGTTAAACGTATTTATTGGTAAGGCTGAAGAATTAAATAATGTTGCAACAAACTGGAAGTTGGATTGAACTTGTATTTTAATATTAAGCATCTGTAGTGAAAAGGCTGTGATATGCAATTAAATATCCATATTCCAGAAATCTAAAATTTGAAATAATGTCGGGTACAGATGAGTGAATATGCTCACGCAGTGTTTAAGAAAAGCCTTTCTGATAAATGCATTATTCCCATTCATATTTCAAAAACTAAAGCTGACTGAAAATCTGAATATTCAGTCATTTTTAGGGTATTGTAATTCATGCATGCTATACACTAATGATGCAGGCAGTATCAAATCCTGGTATGTTTTCTCATGTAGAGTAGGACTTGCTTTCATTGCAAAAAATGGAATGAGTTGGAATGAGAGCAGAGAATGAGGAAGAACTGTCGCTCAGCGCAGAAAGCATCGGCACTCCAGCAGCTGTTGTAATGTATTTAAACACGTAGTGGGATTGCTTGATCATCAGATCTGCACTGTCAGTCAGGTCCCTGTCTGACGAAGGATTTGCTGCAAGTTTTTTGCAGCAGATTTTTGTCCAGGCCCCCTCGGCTGGGACAGGCACTGGCTGCAGCCAACAGACGTCCTGCTGTGGGTTTGTTCGTTAAATCCTGCTGGTGGAGAATGGAGGAACAGAATTGTCAGAAAAGAGGAATATAGACAGTGAAGAGTTGAGCTTTGTTCTGTAAGCAGTCTTCATATTCCAGACACAAGTTAGAAGAGTGGACTGACAGACGCTTATCTTCCATAAATCATTGTGATTAATAGACTTGCTTAGACCGACTCTAACATAAGTAACAAATGCTTGATTTTTAGTTTTTTTTAAAGAGGCCAAAAATACCTGCTAGGCAAATGTGCATACACAGTCCAGATGTTGACTCTATCTGGAGAATACTTTTATTCGAACAAGTCTGAGGATTTTAAGAAGCAGATGGCTCGATGAATCTTGGAAGGGATTTTGCTTGTTCTTTGTATTTTCTGATGGGAATCTTGGTGTAATCTAAAGTCACAGTAGTAGTGTTTACCCTGTTGCCTTTCTCTTAACTTAATGAGCTGGGCCAACAAGTTCAGGTCTCAAAAATACCTGATTCAAACAAGTCTTCAGGCAGCAGGGCATGGTTAGCAGAGTCTGCCCACTGACGTTCCCCACTGCGCGTAAAGGTCCAGCGTGTGGTGTGAAAGTCTTGTGGTAAGAATATTGCGCTATTGCAGATAACTTCACAGGGAGGGTGCACGTCATCAAAAATGAGTGAGGTGTTACCAGTACAAAACCTGAAATGTCTTTAATCATAGAATGATTTTTGTTGGCAGGGACCTTAAAGATCCTCTAGAAGTGTAGCTCCTAAAAATAATAGTTTGGGAACCCAGTGGCAGCTGGGAATTCAGCCTTGTTTCTCCAGCAGTGGTAGTGGTTAGTCTCTCAAGAGTGTCTTAAGTGAAACTGAGGAGAAAATACACTTTTCCAAGGTACTATATTTGGTAAAGGAAGAAAGTGATTAAACCACACATAACTACGATCTATTTGCCTGCCTTAGGCTTAAAGTGTTGGCAAGCTGAACACTGGACTTTCTTCACAGACCTTTGAGATGCTGGGCCTTCGGTAATGGAGAACAGATGTTACAAGGTCTCTGCTTAGTCTGTGGTATGCTTCGAAGCGAAGCTGAAAGATGTAAACAGTTTGTCTTTTCATACACTGGGAGTATCATGTAGTCTTCTAAGGTATTTTGAGCTGTGATTTTTTTAAAAAAAATACAGAAACTTGGTGGAGGTTGAGCTTGTTTAAAAACAAGTTTATGCAAAGGCTTCAGTTCACAGGTGGGAACTTTAGGCCTCCGGAGTTTGCTGCCAGGTGGGAACTCTGCTGTGATAATCTGTTTTGCTAAAGCTGATGGCCTTTATCGAATCGCATGGTTTCTTTTATGAGGTTCAGCACTGCAGCTAGAAGGTCAGTTAGGAAGTAAGCTTCATATGACTGAAAGCCAATTCTAACATCACAGAATCACAGAATCACAGAATAGTAGGGGTTGGAAGGGACCTCTGTGGGTCATCTAGTCCAACCCCCCTGCC